CTTACCAGGGAAGCGCTTATTCCATTGAGCTATCTCCGTGGTCCCTTTTTTATTTTTTTTATTTTTTTTTCCCTTGGCTATTATTAAAAGCCTAAAACTGAGCTGATGCCAGCTGTATAAATATTGAGGGAGCAAACAATCCCACTGAACATCATCTGATTTTTCTGATTCTTCAGCACTTTTCCAGGGTTTGGGTATCTTACAGATTTTTCTTCTGGTTGTTGAGAACAATGCAACTGGAAGTACAAAATGCCCAAATCTGTATTCAGCTCATGTCTTACTCTAAATCAGGCCTGTCCAGCCCACAGCCCACTAGCTCTGCATGAGTCTGGACGGCAATGTGGCCCCACAAGGTCATACATGTTCAACACTATTATGTTGGTTTTTTCATGACTTAATTGTGTGGTATGACCAGCAGCAAGGACCACACAGGACAATGGAATGCTAGATGGGGGGGGGGGGTGCCTCCCGCACATAATCAGTGAATCAAAACCATGTGTTCAGTGCAATGTGATGGTGCCTATCTGTGATCTCAGCACGCTGGGAGGCTGAGGCAGGAGGGTCACAAGCTGAGTCCAGACTAGGTGACTTGGTGAGACCCTGTCTCAAAAATTTTTTAATGGGCCCAGAATGTAGCTTAGTGCAAAGGCTCTGGTTCAATCCCCAGTGTGGCACCAGGAAAAAGAAAAAAAAAAAAAAAAAAAGCACTTGTACAACTCAGTACATATTACAACAAAAATATTTCAACCAACCTACACACTGTGCATGCCTACCACAACAGGTGGTTCTTTTTAATATGCAAACATGTAAGTTTTCTCTTTTACTTATTAATCTTGGGCTTCTTGTGTTGTTTTAATGATCTAGTAAAAGTATTTTTAAGCACAGGAAGTTTTGTTATTTATGTACATTTACTATATTAGATATTTTATCAGTGGCCCAAGGCAATTCCTCCACTCCGTGCAACACAAAAGGTTGACAAAAGGTTGGACACTCATGCTCTAAAATCCTTGGTTTTGTGAAATCCCTGTCCTCAAACTGACATAGGAAATATTACAGATAAAATTCACACAGACTCTTGCCTTGTTCAACACAAAAATAAGATACAAAAGCTCTAAGGAAGCTGTCCGAGTACTGGCAACTTTCCTATCTTGACTGAGTGGAGGCTTTAATTAGTGGAAATCCCTATATAGTTGTGTATATTTTATTGTATATCCTACCCAGTAAAAAAAAAAAAAAAAAGAAAAAAAGAAAAACCAGGTTTGTGGCCTCCGCCCGTAACCGCAGCCCTTGGGAGGCTGAGGCAGGACTCCAGTCTTTGCTACGCAGTTCAAGGCCGACCTGACCTACATCAGGAGACCCTTTGAAAGACAGGAAAAAAGTACTGCTCAGCGCACCACTGCTGGAGCCCTCCCGTGCGGCGCGGGGCTCAGCTAGGGACGTCTCGCACTCCTCTGCTGATGCCACCACCACCCCATTCCCGCGTTACTGCTGAACATCAGACCCCGAGAAAGCGAACCACTAACGGAAGGTCCCGAAGCCTTGAAGAGCGGGACACAATCCGGTCCGCAGCTGGCCCAAGGGTAAGGGCTGGGAAGGGGTGGGGGGGGCCGCAGCGCCTCCCAGAACGCGGGCTGGCGGTCTCCCACGTCTCTCATTTAACCGAGGAGGCGGCTACGATTGGGACGGCCGCCCTCGGGACCCGTCGCGGTGCCCTCTGCGGGCACGCGGGCTCTGTCGCGTCGGGGGCACCGCAGGGCCCGCTCCCCATCTGCGCGCCGCCGCGGAGCCGCCTACCTTGGAGGGCGCCGGGATGCCCGCTGGGCCCGCCCAACGGGGGCGCGCTGCCGCTGGACTCGCTCATGGCTCTGCCGCGGGAAGGCTCCGTGCGGATTCCAGGTTCCGGCGTTGACGTCACAGGGGCCGGGCCCGGGCGCCAGGGCCACGCCCACATGGGGGGGTCCTGGGGGGCCGCTGGGGTCGCCGGATACGAGGCCACCTGTCCGGCTTCCTGGTTGACGACAACGAAAGGGGTTAAGATACTGTAAATACATTCTGCATGTCTTAGTGCCCAGAAGCTGGCCGCCAGCAGCGGGGAGGGGACGGGTGGGGGAGTGGGGAGGTGGGAAAGATTTGCACAAAATGCAGTGTCTTTCAAACTTTGCATCATATCCACGTTTGTGTTCCACCTCTACGCATCTGTCCGTGTGTAATTTAAACATAAAAACAATTATGCAGGTGCGGCACACCGCGCAGCTACTCAGAGGCCAAGGCAGGAGGAATATGGCTCGAATGCAGCAGTTCTAGGCCACCCTGGGTAATATAGCAAGATCCTATCTTATGAAAAACTAAAAGTAATTACCAGCCATAAAGAAGTGATTAAGTAAACACATACCTGGGGGAATGTGGGTCATTCTGTGCAGAATTCTCAGCCATTTATGTAGCTACTTAAGGAGAGGGCAGTAAGTCCTCACACCTTACACATGGCTGCAGATAACATCGTCTTTCCAAAGAGCCAGGTACAGGAGGGGAGGGTGCAACGGACAGGATACTTTCTGGGACAGGTAATGCTGATGAGACTGGCAGTTCACCACTGTGGCCATCCCTTCCCCCGACCCAGAATCTCAGTCTAATCATAAAAACGAAATACGCAGATAAGCTCCAATTATGGTCATTCTACGTAATACCTCAGCAGTATTCCTAGGAACCATCAAGGTCATTTGGGCACAGTGGCCCAGTCCCATAATCCCAGCAGTCTGGGATGCTGATGCAGGAGGATTGCAAATTCAAAATCCAGCCTGGGAAAGTTGGGGAATTAGTGAGATCCCAAGACAAAAATAAATG